ACAGACAGCACTCTTAGTCATGCAAAAATGCAATATGATTATAACTAATAAAACAGAACTTCTCAATGTGTACATCAACCAATGTTTATTTCTGTTTGCTTTTGCATCAACATATTTCAGACCTTTTTTGTCAAGGAATTTCTATTACACTAGAATATATCAAGAAGAACAAAAAGTGGTAGAATCAGTTGAAATAAGACAATTTTTGCGGCAATTATTGAGTAAAATCAAATGAATGCCTTTTTCAGCATACTACTGTGTGAAGAACTATAGTTCCAGTGATTTAGACAGAGCAAGAATACCAGATAGTACAGTACCAGCAGTAACAGGTATATGCAGAAAATATTTCAAGAGTCTCTTTTTTTTGTTTGTTTGTTTTACCTTTTAACCCAAAGTTAAACTGTACAGTTATTATAAAAAAAAGCCAAAAAACATATAGAAACCAAAAACTTACTAACAAAACACCCTGTCAGCAGAAGTCAGTTTTTTTTTGTTTTATGTATTTTTTAAATCTTTTTTACAGCATTTTGTAAATTTTATTTTGGTTTTGTTTTCTCTCTTTTTTTGTGAGTTTTGTCTGCCACTGAAAGAACTGCACTGAACACAAATCTCACTGACGGTACAGAGATAGAAGAGAAATGTTATATTAATATTTTGACATGATTAAGACACAGAGTTGAATCCAATTATGTGTAACATTTGAAATARGTGTAGCTCAGCCTTGAAATTTCTGGTCAACTAGGTATGTGTGAGAAGGCCATTTAAGTCTAAGGAAAGTCTCAGCAGCCAGACAAAAAAAAAGAGGATGAAAAGGACTGATTCACTTGTGTCTCCTATTTTTTTAAAAATATTTTTTCAGTGTGATTGACATCCACAAGACCAAGGCGCTTCACTTCATACTGCATGTGTTTATGCTCATGTGCATAAAGAACTAATGTGTGAGAAATAGAAATCTTTTTTTTTTCTCAGATAAGTTCGAAATACAGACAGGTGCACAAGTACAAAACGTCCTCCTCACTTGATGTTGTTAGTCCATGTCGTGTGGCTACCCACTGACATACAGCACAATCACAATTTGATACACAGCCATGTACCATGAAACATTAGTTGTTCTTTTTTTAAAAAATACATCAGCTTTCAGTTTAAAGTCCATCGCCATCAAATATAGGACTGTGACACATAGTCATAGTCAGAAAGCAAAACAAAAACAATAGTTTTGCTTTGAGGTGAAATTGCTGTAGATGTTTCAAACACGGTTTCTTCACTGACTCAACATCTGAACATCACTAAAAATACTGTTTCTTCCCCCGAATCATCACATAAACAACTCGAGGGAGACTCGACTGAGATGAAACCCGTGGGATTCCAGCTCTCAGCATCACAAATACAGTGACTATCATCACGAGTGCTGACCTTCATTGCGGGTGGAAACTGCCTGGGTTTAATGCACAACAGTGTGTTGCGCAGAGACGGGAGGGAGTCGTTTATTTTTGATTGCTTTAGCGGGAAAAGGGTCTCGTTCGACAACTGTTGGCACTCTTTCCATCTCTTCAGCACACACAAACCTACGGCTCACTAAACATATCTGACAAAATCAGGTACAGACATAAACACATTTTTTGTTTTTATTCTTTTTTTAAATGGAAAAACAAAACGAGTTATGATAAATGCCCTTTTTGAGGAAAACCCACGTGTTATATCTTCCATTACGTTCAACATCAATAGTTTCCCCACGTGTTAGCTCTTTAGTTAGTTTGCAGTGAAGAGATTTGTCGATTTCGATTTTTATGGCACATGAATTGTATACAAGTTTGTACAACAGATTTAAACACACACTCTCTGCATCTGCCTCACCAATTTCTGTCTTTATCTAACTTTATTTTTGAGTAGTAAGATGTCCCTTATCACCATTTAATGCCAAGTAGCATCAGCTGACAAGAAAAAAAATTGACCAGTGTGGTTATACTTTACCGAATTAAGTACTTCTAATTGTGCAGCTCACAGTATTTGAGGTAAGGACAATGTTTGGGTATTTTATGTGTAGCGATAGTTAACTGTGTGCATTTATATTYTCAAGAATTATTTTTTGAGACTAAGAAAACAAAACCAAATAAATCAAAAACAGAAAATAAAAAGAAAGTAACACAGGTTTTGGCTTAATAGCAATGCAGGTATACATTTTCCTTTTTATATATAGCTTTTTGCCAGTATCTCAAAAAATATAAAGTTTATTTATAGTTTCTGTTGTTGGCTTACATTATAAATATTATTTTTTTTTCCATTTCAAATCTCTCATTAAAGTGGCATGCTGCTTTTTATATGGCAGTTGTATATTTTGAATACTCATCCATTGTTGTTTCATGCATTTCTTGTTGGTTTCTTAACTTGTGAGTATCTATACAGTAAGGTCCAGAAAACCCAAATGACACAAGCTCCCTCTCAAACAC